GATTTATATGTCAGTGATGAACTTAATTGAGACCAAAGATAAGATACAGGAAGCTCTTTCTAGTCTGAAAGGTTAGTACCAAAGGCATTTTTGGACATTTCCATTAAAAGGACCCAATGCTATCATATTTATACCCCCTCTTTAAAAAAGTGGGGGTATACTGTTTTACCTCTGTCTGTCTGTCCGTCCATCCGTCAGTCTGTCAGTCTGTCAGTCCATCAGTCCATCAGTCCATCAGTCCGTCTGTCCGTCCCATGAATATTTTTAGTCGCATTTTTCGCAGGAACTGCATTACAAGGATTTCTGAAATTTGGTTTCAGGGTTTATATGAGTCAGCTATACCGTGTGATGCGTTTTCAGATTCATCACTCAACAACTTCCTGTTTACCTTATACTTTTAGCGGGCAGGGGTATCATTAGTGAGCAGTAGCTCACAGATTCACTTGTTTGATATGTTTTTATTCAAATCTTTCTTACTGAAATTATAGGGGGAAAATAAAACTCTTTTCTGAATTGATTTATGCTTTAAAGTAATGTTGCAATTTTTTTTGTTGAAAGTACGAAATGATTTTCAAAACAGTACTTTTTTAGCATTACTTTCTAGAGATGATTTTATTTCTTGGACAGATACATTTGTACATTGTATAAATGCCAACACATTTTTTCTATTAGATGAAGAAACAATTTTATTTCAGATTCCAAGTTATACTGGCTTGACTTGACTGAAATAGATGATATAGTGGATCTGTCAGAAACGGTGATGACTTCAGTTACAGATAAAAGTAAAGCTTGGGTTAATGAAAATGTTGAGGAAGACTCTGTCAGCCAATTTACAAAAGGGAAGATGTCTGTGGTAAGAGAATGCAAATGCCAACCCTACAACAAATATATCATAAACTTCCATAATTGTGATATTAAATAATATCAAATATGACAATTCTCATAAAATCTATGAAATATGAAACCATTAAAAAAAATCATCACCATTAAATTAAAACTTTTTCTGAGTTGAAATCATGAACTGAACCCAAAATCTGAAAACTTTAATTTAGATATTTAAAAATGTGAAAAAAATTAGTTTGATAAATTGTTTGTTGACCCAAGTCATTGAAGGGACTAATGTAATAAACTTGATGTCCATGCTTGTCTAAATGTGTACATCCATATTCTTTTTTTAAATAACATTGACATACAGATATTGCACTATTTCAATGACCATGATATGTATGACCCATATTTAAAACAAGATAAGTTTTTGAGGTAAAAGTGACCAACATTATATAACTCTGTAAGGCTTATGACATTTTTTTTCTATCAACATAGGTCATTAACCTATATTTCATACCTCATTGACTAGGGTTAAGTTTTACATCAGAGTTCAGCTTACTTTTGCAAAGATAATAATTATTAATTATGTACAGTAAGTACTGTATCTCTATTTTTGTCCTTGATTCTTCTGTTTGTTAGTCCTACCATTTTTGTCTCGCCTGTGACAAAAGTCGCGAAAGCAAGATATAGGGATTGCTTTTCTGGCGACGACAACGGGTCCGGTGTCAACAATTCTTAAGTTTTCTGCTTAAGTTAGTTTGATAGGAACTACTTCTGATAGATCAATGATATTTTGTATGAAGTTGCACTACTATTAGTTTGACAACTATTTTAAGGCCCTGCCCCTAAGGACATAGTCCAGTGACTTTGAATTAATTAGCAATTTTCAATGTTAATTAAGTTTTTCTGCTTAAGTTATATTGATAGGAACTATATATATATATAGCTACTTACAATAAACAACGATATTTTCTAAGTTACATCACTGTCTGTACATCTCAGTTTGTCAGCCATTTTCAGGCCCTGTTGAATTGATTACAATGAAACTTTCTTAGAATCTAAAGTATCTAATTGCAATAAGAATCTCCTATGTTGTGTAAAACATGGACTGTGCAATTTTTATGAAACTTTAGTAGTGACTTGTTTATATCTATTCTCCCTTTTGTATTTAATAAATTACTGGTATGACATTGTGGAGTTATGGGACTTTACTTCGTTGAAAAATCATCATAAATCACAGTATTTCTTGATGATCATATAATATCATTTAATGCATAAAGATAAACTAAAAAGGTGACGGGCTTATCATGGGTTTATGGCGCAGCTCTTTATTAGATCTGGTATCATCTTTCTTGCCTATGTTTTTCCCAACTAAGAATTTATATTGCTGTATACACTATTAATATTTATTTATATTTCTAAGCGTGAAGTGAGGCAGAATGTTGTGGATGAAATTAAGGCAACTGTAGATGAGTTGGTATCATCCTTGCAAGGACTTACTGGTTTCGCTGATTCCTTCTTAACAAAGTACAAGGAGTTTTTCTCCTTAGTGAAATCTATCAAAGAAGCATACGCCATCTTGAAAGAAGGGTAATTACTATAACTTCTACTTTCAATAAATCTTTACATTTATTTGTAAAATCTTATTTAACACTAAAAATGATTTTTGTATAACTCACTGAAAAAAAAAAACCCAGAATTTTTTTGTTATAGTTTTAACAGATTCATTGTTTTCTTGTATTTTCCAATTTTTTTCTTGGGTTGAAAAATATGACAAAAGGGTACATTAAAATAGTCTCAGAGAAGACCAAAGTAAAAACCTTAGATTACTTATCCATTAAAACATTTTATGCTTTGAAAAGAATAGTTTTATAATTGAAGATATGAGAAAGCAATGTCTACGATTGCTTCTATCTTTGGTCCTGGCGCACACCCAAGTTTTGCTAATATCACACGCTTAAAGGGATCTGGATGTGACTATGATGGTTTCTATCCTGCTGGTAATGAAGGAGGAGTAGACTTGGAAGTTGAACCTGGAGCAGAAGTTAGTATTCCTATAAAGTTACACTATTATAGATGTGTTTTATACCCACACTGATATAAATAACAATTAGGGGAGTTTAGTTGTAGATCAAGAGGATATTTAAGCATAGGGACTGCTTGTTTTCAAGAAAAATGAGGTTCAAAATGAGAAGTTCTGTAAATTCTTTAAAAATTTCTGAAAAATGTTAATTGTATTTTAAAGGATATATTTGGCTGTGAAATATTCCAAATATGTATGATTAAAAAGCTTTAATTCTTGTGCATTAGGGAAAATTAATTTTACAGGTTAACAGTTTTACTTCATCTCACAAGTAGCCTTTCATTAACTTAAATCAAGTCAACAGTTATTTATTTATTATTTTAAAAAGTTACTAGAATTGAAATATTTTTTACTTTTTCAGGTCATTGCCCCATTTTCAGGATTTGCAAGACTATCTGATAATGAGAATGAAGTGATAATTAAAGCTACTGGTGGATTTGTCAGAGATATAGATATTATTATAAGGAATATAAAACCAAATAGTAACATTTTACACCCCGATGACGAACTATATATTGAACAAAGAGTAAGTATTTTTTTTGGATCATATAACTAGTGTGATTTCAGACTGAGGATGAGCTGTAAGATAAATATCTAAACAGAATGTCCAACTCTTTAAAACAAATCACTATCATTGCTAAAATTTCAATAGTTCGACAAGAATCAAATTAAAATTGCAAATTTGACAGAAATTATAGGAAGATGAAAAAAAAGTGTGTACATAGTGGATTGCTTTGAAGTGTTTTTTTCTTCAAAAATACAGGTTGCAGCTGGAGAACCTATTGGGGTTGCAACTCAATCAATATGTGAAAATCATATAAAAGTGCTTTTTATCAAGGATGGAGGATCAGTAGATCCCACAGGATTCATGACAAAGAGAGGAGTGGAACTTCAGCCTTGGATTCAGAAATGTGATGATTATAGATTTGTTTATATGGTAAGCTGGTTATGTTTATAATATTTATTCTTAACGTCAAAATGATAAAGTAAAAATGCAAGATTGCAGTTTAAATGTTTCCTTTGCCTATCAATTTGTGGGTCATCAATTTTTATATCCTACTATAAGTCAATTTATTTGAAATATTTTCATAATTTTAGTACACATTGTTGGAAGATGAGAAATTATTGAAGCATCATTTTAGTTTTGATAAACTTTGGATTAATCATTCCAGGATTTTAGGGATTAAATTAACTTCTACAATATATCAATATAAAAATATAAAGATGTGGTTAAGATTACCAATGAGACAACTTTCCAGCAGAGACCAAGGTTGATTTTCTGAACGTTTATACTTTTTATTCAAATTATCAATTTGTGGGTCATCAATTTTTATATCCTACTATAAGTCAATTTATTTGAAATATTTTCATAATTTTAGTACACATTGTTGGAAGATGAGAAATTATTGAAGCATCATTTTAGTTTTGATAAACTTTGGATTAATCATTCCAGGATTTTAGGGATTAAATTAACTTCTACAATATATCAATATAAAAATATAAAGATGTGGTTAAGATTACCAATGAGACAACTTTCCAGCAGAGACCAAGGTTGATTTTCTGAACGTTTATACTTTTTATTCAAATTTTTTGGAGAAGGGAGATTAATGAAATATTTATAAAATACTTTTAATAAGGATTGCTTGAGATGGGTGTATCGTGTGTTCATGGAGACCTTTTTATTCAGAAATAGCTACATAGTGATATCTGATAATTGCCATCTTATTTTTAGGGATTTACTATTAGAGCTGGTTCAGTCGTTGGTGCAATTGGAAAATTACTGAAAGACAAGACTCCAAAATTGTTCAACAAAAATGCTGTGAAAGAAAGTATGCCAAAGCTAAGTGGTGATCCTCCTGGTACAGATGTTAAAACAATTAAAGGTAATATCTTCCTCATATTGAGTCTTTAAGGTGATAATCTGATATTAATATACTACAGATTATTCTGAAATTTTCCTGAAACAGAGTTTGATATGCATTCAGTCACCATACTTATTTTCAGGAATATGGGGGTTCCTGATTGAGAAGGGCAAACTACTAAATACTACTATTTGATTCATTTAAGGATGTTCGCTCCTCTTGTTTTTAGCTCACCTGGCCCGAAGGGCCAAGTGAGCTTTTCTCATCACTTGGCGTCCGTCGTCCGTCGTCCGTCGTCGTCCGTCGTCGGCGTTAACTTTTTACATTTTGAACTTCTTCTAGAGAACCACTGAATGGAATGAAACCAAACATGGCATGAATGTTCCTTATGAGGTGCTGACCAAGTGTTGTTACTTTGTAGCTGATCCATCATCCAAGATGGCCGCCAGCGGGGGACTTAGTTTAACATAGGACCCTATGGGAAATGCATACAAATGACTTCTTTTAGGGAACCACTGAATGGAATGAAACCAAACATGGCATGAATGTTCCTTATGAGGTGCTGACCAAGTGTTGTTACTTTGTAGCTGATCCATCATCCAAGATGGCCGCCAGCAGGGGACTTAGTTTAACATAGGACCCTATGGGAAATGCATACCAATGACTTCTTTTAGAGAACCACTGAATGGAATGAAACCAAACATGGCATGAATGTTCCTTATGAGGTGCTGACCATGTGTTGTTACTTTGTAGCCGATCCATCATCCAAGATGGCCGCCATCGGGGAACTTAGTTTAACATAGGACCCTATGGGAAATACATACAAATGTCTTCTTTCAGAGAACCACTGAATGAAATGAAACCAAACATGGCATGAATGTTCCTAATGAGGTGCTGACCAAGTGTTGTTACTTTGTAGCCGACCCATCATCCAAGATGGCCGCCAGCGGAGGACTTAGTTTAACATAGGACCCTATGGGAAATACGTAAAAATGTCTTCTTTTAGAGAACCACTGAATGGAATGGAACCAAACATGGCATGAATGTTCCTTATGAGATGCTGACCAAGTGTTGTTACTTTGCAGTCGGTCCATCATCCAAGATGGCCGCCAGCAGGGGACTTAGTTTAACATAGGACCCTATGGGAAATACATACAAATGTCTTCTTTTAGAGAACCACTGAATGGAATGAAACCAAACATGGCATGAATGTCCCTTATGAGGTTCTGACCAAGTGTTGTTACTTTGTAGCCGATCCATCATCCAAGATGGCCGCCAGCGGGGGACTTAGTTTAACATAGGAGCCTATGGGAAATACATACAAATGTCTTCTTTTAGAGAACAACTGAATGGAATGAAACCAAACATGGCATGAATGTTCCTTATGAGGTGCTGACCAAGTGTTGTTACTTTGCAGTCGGTCCATCATCCAAGATGGCCGACAGCAGGGGACTTAGTTTAACAAAGGACCTATGGGAAATACATACAAATGTCTTCTTTTAGCGAACCACTGAATGGAATGAAACCAAACATGGCATGAATGTTCCTTATGAGGTACTGACCAAGTGTTGTTACTTTGCAGTCGGTCCATCATCCAAGATGGCCGACAGCAGGGGACTTAGTTTAACAAAGGACCTATGGGAAATACATACAAATGTCATCTTTTAGAGAACCACTGAATGGAATGAAACCAAACATGGCATGAATCTTCCTTATGTGATGCTGACCAAGTGTTGTTACTTTGTAGCCGATCCATCATCCAAGATGGCTGACAGCGGGGGACTTAGTTTAACACAGGACCCTATGGGAAATACATACAATTGTCTTCTTTTAGAGAACCAGTGAATGGAATTGAACCAAACATGGCATGAATGTTCCTTATGAGTTGCTGACCAAGTGTTGTTACTTTGCAGTCGATCCATCATCCAAGATGGCCGCTAGGGGGGGGGGGGGGGCTTAGTTTAACATAGGACCCTATGGGAAATACATACAAATGTCTTCTTTTAGAGTACCACTGAATGGAATGAAACCAAACATGGCATGAATATTCCTTATGAAGTGCTGACCAAGTGTTGCTTCTTTGTTGCCGATTTACTGTTCAAGATGGCCACCAGGATATTTTATTAAATAACAGGACCAATATTAATCAAAATTTGGCCTCAATCATTATTTGGGTATCTGTTATGATTTTTATCTATCTTTACATGATTTCTAAAACCAAAGTAGAGTCAGGTGAGCGACACAGGCTCTTGAGAGCCTCTAGTTTAATTTTTGCCAGATATTTGGAATCTTCTTGTTTTATCCATGTATTGCCATTAAAATGTTTTGCCCGCTAACCCCTACTTTTTTTTCCATTATTTGATTACATACAGTTTAAAATGTCATCTTTGAAAATCTTATAAAATCCTTGTTATTTTTTCATCGTTTTTGAAACAAAAAAGCGGCCAATGTTAAAAGTATATTTTGAAACAGAGAAGCGAACATCCTTAAATTCATTGCAAAATAACTTTGTGGGAGTATACTGTAGTATCTAATTGGAATATCAAAGGCAATATTTGTTTAGAATCTTAAAGTCTCTCTATGTTGCAAACAATTATGAGGACTTTTTAACACAATGGAGGAAAGACTTGTTTTGTGTATGAACTTTTTTTTTAGCTTACCATATGCTTCATTAATGGTCCTTTAGGTTGTTCAATTGGGTAACAATATTTCTCATCTGAATTCATTCAGATTTTGTTCATTGTCATTGTTTTATTAAATGACTTGGATTATATATTTATAGTACTTCAATTTACAATAATAATAATAATAATTCTTTATTTAACAAAGGTAACTCATTTAGCAATAAGATGTTAAACTTCCTAGAGGCCTTCAAAAACTATTGTAGTAAAACCTAATAATAAACATGCAAGTATTTTTTTTTCTATACAGATGATGGTAAAAGTTATTATGGAAAACTATCAGAAAAATTTCCTAAATCTAATGGAGATGACTGGTCAAAAGAATTTGATTGGTCTGGTGGCAATGGTGTATCAAGTGCAGGTTCTGGGTCTGGTAGTTTCAACATTAAAGGTAAATAATTAAATCAAATATCATGTGAAATGCTATAAAAACTTATTGTTTCACATTAATTCACTAAATTTCAGACAGTATCATTGTAACCACTGAATTCAGCATTAGTATAAAAATTACTTAGAGTACCATTATAAAACATATTGCAAAACAACTTGAAATAGGTTTTAGTACCTTTTTCAAAATAATAAAGCCATGTGGACATGTTTATTTATGATAATAAGTTGTTTCAACCCCCACCCCCACCCCCTACCCCCACCAGACATATATGCTATTTTTTTCAAATCATTTTTGGTATTCATATTGTACCCTATCATTGAAAATTACTTAAAAACATCAATTCAAAATTTCACTTGGTATTATTTGTGAATTTTGATTTTTACCTCATAAATATTTTTAAGAATTTACCTATGGTACTAGTATTTTTAGCTCACCTGGCCCGAAACTAGTTTTTCTCATCACTTGACATCCGTCGTTGTGGTCGTTAACTTTTACAAAAATCTTCTCTTCTGAAACTATTGGGCTAAATTTAATCAAACTTGGCCACAATCATCATTGGGGTATCTAGTTAAAAAAATGTGTCAGATGACCTCGCCTGCCAACAAAGATGGCCGACATGGCTAAAAATAGAACTTAGGGGTAAAATGCAAGTTTTGTCTATTGTTTTGAAAACTGTTTTAAATAGAGAAAGTCTGACAAAGCATAAATGTTCAGAATGTTGAGCTCTACCAATTGTTTTATATGTCAAAACTGTCAGACGACTTCTTATAGGAGTTATTGCCCTAAAATGACAAATTTTACCATTTTTTCTCATCTTTGCCTATTATCTTGATAACTATAATAGATAGAGATCCTTATGATCAGCAAGACAAGTTCTACAAATAAGTCTGCATGGTTGAAATCAGCAGTCGACTTCTTATTAAAGTTATTGCCCTTTGATGATGATTTTACCAGTTTTTTGCGTTTTTGCCTTACATCTATAAAATTGTAATAGATAGATACAAACTTAACTAAGCAAAAATGATCAGCAAAACAATAACTACAATTAAGACAATATGGAGGAAAACATCAAATGACTTTTTATTGGAGTAATTGTCCTTAAATGACGATTTTTACAATTTTTTTTGCATTTTGCCTAATACGGTAAATATTATAATAAATAAATAGACACTTTAAATCACAAAAATGATCAGCAAGGCAAGATCTTCTAACAAGTCAAATGAGTAGGTTCAGTAAGACCCCTTTTTGGCCCCAAAATATAGCAGTTTTACAAAATTGTGAAAATGTAATCTTTAAGCTATTTATTGTAAAGAAGAATGCTTCTGCTACATAAATATGGGCTGTTTTTTACAATACAATGCACATATATCGGGTACTAACATCATTAAGTCATGCTAAATTACTGAAATCTTCAAAATTTTAGCATTGTAGTTAAATTTTAGACGGTTTTCGTCTTAAATGAAAGTGGCCGCATTCGTGTTCATTCATAATATTGAAATGTAAGTTGCATTTGATGATAATACATAATATATATAAAGGTTGAGGATGAACACGGATGCGGCCACTTTCATTTTTGACAAAAACCATCTGAAAAGTGACGTTTTTTGGCATATTTGATAGATTTTTCATATTTAAGCTTGAATCGGCGCGTTTTTTAATGACTAAATCAGTTAAAATCTTTCACATAAACTAATCGAATCAATTGAAATAGACACTTAAGTGTTTAAAAAGTGTCTAAAATCTTTCGTAAGATGAACTTGAAATTTGAGGCCAAAATCGGCCCTTACCGGACCTACTCCTTTGCCGATATAGTTAGTAGACCGTCACTCTTTATAGGAGTAATTGCCCTTAAATGAGGATTTTTTTTAAACCTTTTTTGTGTTTTGAGCAAAAACTAAAGAAGATAGAGAGAAACTAAATAGATGTAATGATCAGCAATACAAGATCAACAACACAGAGATTTTTGTTATGAATTCTGTTCTCGTTTACAATGTTGGAGAGTGTCCTTTGTTGAATATGCACATAGATATTTCGATAAAGTCATACACAGATTAATGGCAGATATGGAATTTCTAATCTACATATTCCCCTCCTCTGGTGTCAACAAATTACATGAAATACGTTGAGTCTTCAGTGTGCTGACATTTTAAAATATTTGTTAATAAGAGTGGGGCTCAATTTGTTTTCTATTGTCATACTTCTTTTTTGTAGACGCATTCAGTGTTTTACTGAAGAAAGCTGACAGTTTTATGAAAAAGTTCTCGCTAAAAAAAATAAAACTCGGATCAATTATTAATTTTTTTGACAAGCTTGGAATGGAT